CTGAAACGCGTGAATGTCTCTCACTGGAACGGACTCGGGAATCTCTCTCGCTGGAACGGACTCGGGAATCTCTCTCACTGGAACGACTCGGGAATCTCTCTCACTGGAACGACTCGGGAATCTCTCTCACTGGAACGGACTCGGGAATCTCTCTCGCTGAAACGCGTGAATGTCTCTCACTAGAACGGACTCGGGAATCTCTCTCGCTGAAACGCGTGAATGTCTCTCACTAGAAAGGACTCGGGAATCTCTCTCGCTGAAACGCGTGAATGTCTCTCACTGGAACGGACTCGGGAATCTCTCTCGCTGGAACGGACTCGGGAATCTCTCTCACTGGAACGACTCGGAAATCTCTCTCACTGGAACGGACTCGGTGATCTCTCTCGCTGAAACGCGTGAATGTCTCTCACTGGAACGGACTCGGGAATCTCTCTCACTGGAACGGACTCGGGAATCTCTCTCGTTGGAACGGACTCGGGAATCTCTCTCACTGGAACGGACTCGGGAATCTCTCTTGCTGGAACGGACTCGGGAATCTCTCTCGCTGAAACGCGTGAATCTCTCACTGGAACGGACTTGGGAATCTCTCTCACTGGAACGGACTCGGGAATCTCTCTCACTGGAACGGACTCGGGAATCTCTCTCACTGGAACGGACTCGGGAATCTCTCTCACTGGAGCCGACACTGGGCTGAGCTCTGGGACAAAAGCGGGCACTGGGTGGAGCTTTGGGAACTGAGCGGAATCCTAGTTGAGTTCGGGGAAGTAAGCAGATTCTGGAGCGGACTCTTGGTCTGATGAAATTCTCGAACTGATTCTAGGACTGGAGTGAACTCCTGGACAGACTCATGGATCTGAGCAAACTCTGGAGTGTATTCTGAATTGGTTTGAACTGGTGCGGACTCTAGATTGGCTGGGATTGGAGTGGATTCTGATTTGGCCGGGACTGGAGCGGAGTCTTTCAGGAGTGGTCCTCCTGAGTGGGAGAGCAGAGAGAATATATTGCTCTAATGTGTAGCCATGCACATCCCATGGCATCCTACAACGCAAAGGCTCATCCAAACCTCCATGGAAAATAAACATGAGCATATCATCCTCATCCAGGTAAACTGTAGACGCCAGCTCCAGGAAGTCCTCAGTATACTCCTCAACTGGACGGCCATTTTGAGTGAGGGAGTACAACAGATCAGTTAGGCGGAGAAGCATGCTCATGCTGCAATCGGTTAGGTCTGGTCTTCTGTCAGGAAACACAAACTCACAGAAGTAGTGAGTAACAATAAGCGAGTTTTAATCCACACAGGTAAATGGTAAGTATACTGCAGATAGACAACAACCAGGAAGACGATGATGAAGCAGATGAAAACAGGTACCGGTACGTTGCACCACACACACCCTACACACCAATATTTCACTGAGTATTGAACTAATGAGATGTTTTTCTCATACAGGGAGTTGGCGAATTGGAGACTGGAGACAGGCAGGATTGAAGACAAGGAAATGAACATGGTGGTAGGCATCTCAGATAAGGATTATCCCCATCTTGGGAAAGTCCTAGTTGAGACCAGACAATGAAGGTGTGTGTAGTGCAGGCTTTTGTAGTGTGGAGCAGATGAGGGTGATTCTTCTTCTTCTTCAGTTTTTTTGGCGCTTTGCATCCTATGTGCATATTGCTACTTACTTTTGCTGTTGTGCCGTCATGATTTACTTATAAGCATTTCTTCCTTATTTTTTAGTGTTTAATTCTTTCACACATATACACATATCTATCTATTTCTTCCTACTTTTATAATTACTCTAAGCTCCATCCAATTCCCAGGTCCTACCTGGCGCTGCGTGCATGAGGGTGATTGATACCAGTGATTATATGGAGTGTGTGCAGGTGAGAGTCAGAGAGGATGATGGGAAATGTAGTGCAGAGGTGATGGGTGAAATGTGACAGCATCTTGATGACACATGGTGTAAATTAATGCTCTTGATAACTTTAAAAAAGAAAGATTTCAAAGTGCATAAGGCATTAGATGGTAGGAGCGGCCCATATAATCTTCTGATAATGTATTGTAGTTTGCCGGATGTACTACTCCAGTGCACTTGAGGTTGAAATTACTGCATGGCGTAGGGCACATTATCAGTGGTTTTATGTTTCTTGTATTGTGTGTAAAGGTTGAGGCTATTCAAAATGACAATGAAGTTGTTGTTTTTTTTATATAAAAATAAGGTAAGCTATTCAAAGGGGGTTGGGACTCCATACAACCTTCAGTTGCTTATTGGTCAGATAGGACTTTGACTAATCTGTAGAATATAATAAAATACTGTTGAAAGTTGGTCACCCAGAATTTGTTACATTTTTCATGTTTGTTCATGTTTAAGACCATTTGTAAACACTTTGTATAATATGGTTATATGCTCAAGTGCAATGACACTGATTCAGAACACAGGAATTAAGAGGTGCGGCTCAAAAAAGGAAAATCCTGTGTTTCACAACTTTTTATGTGGAGGATTGTGTCACAATATCTGATCTCAGATCAAATACAGTCTAACGATTACAAAATATTATGTTTTTTTCTTTTTATAAATAACCTTAGTTAAAGTTTTGAACTGAAATGAAGAATTGTGTCACATAGTGTAGTTTTGGTTCTTTGAGCTCATTTTAATTCCCTGTGTTTAATCCCGGTTTTATATCCTTAATACTGTAAATATGTCACTGACTTTTTCCGTGGGTTCCTACACTTTTGTCAACTGGCCCAATCTCCGCATTGCCATGATAAAACCACAACTCAGCTAGAATAAGGGAAGTCTTTCATATACTGTGAAATATGTCAGAGTGAAACTTTTTTTTGTCCATATGTCAGAGTGAAACTTGATTTTGTCCATCGGGAATTGATTGGATGCTGAACCTGAATCACTATCAGAGCATTAAAAAGGAAGCACAGACTTAAGTTTTTTAGCTATAAGAATTGGTTTGGTATCTGATTAGGTTTCATTTTTAAAAGCAATACATAAAAAGGTATTTGGTTCCTAAATTTGCTTTTGTGAATATGAACTATTCTCAACTGTAATCCAAATGGATGGAAATTTTACATGCAATTCAAATACATGAATCTTACACTGAGGCCTATTATCTGATGAAACATTTATGAAGAGGCAACTTATTGTATCTAGAAAAATAAGGCAATGCAGTCCTGCCACAGAAATGAAATGCAAGCGTACGTACTTACCCAGGATTTCTGTATACAAGTGATCCCACTTTGATTTAGTGACTAGATAAAACAAAAAATCCTGTCCGACATAGGACAGAAAATTTTTCAGTCTCTGCAGGAAATTCATTTCATCTGTGTTCTCAGAGCCGATGGAAGGGACGTAGGATGGCGGAGCCGGCAGTTGTCCGCAAAGTCTCTCCAATGTGTTACCAAAGGAAAACCTGAGACTGAGAATAAAAGGTAAGTTCAACTTCTGTGCCAGCAGCTCCCCACACATGAACAAAGGGTCGGCCAGTAATGCGTCAAACTTCTCTTCTCTCCACTTCTCAAGGAGGTCTTCTCTGGCAAAGAGTTGAGTGCACACGGCACGATTCTGCTCACTGCCAATGTCAATCATCTCCTTGATCTTCAGTGAAGCCTTGATGATGTTGTCATTCGGTAGCTCATGAGTCCAGTATTTCAGCATCCTCTCCATGTTCTCCAGGATGTCCTGCTTTGTGTGAGGAACCTGTATAATCTCCACATTATAGCCCTCGGATGGAGTGGTTTTGACAGACGGTGTGGCCGTGTGAGTGACCACTGTGACATTGTGTCCTCTTTCGATCAATGCGTCTATGATGACTTTTACATTGAGCCAGTGGCTGAATTCGGCAGGCCAGACGAGGATCTTCCCTCCTGACACACACTGCAGGTCCAGGTTCAGCAGAACAAGCAAAAGGAAAAGACTGGTGCTTCTTCTGGGACTCATGACAGCGGTGAACAAACTTCTGCGCACAATAAGCAGGATCAGCATGTGGAGGAGGAGGAGCTACTGACTGGAAACATGGAAAGACAAAGTTATGCAATCAAATAAAGGGGAAGGTCTTGACTGAGCTTTAGTTTTAAAGAAATAGTAAGTAGATTATGTCCCTCTGTTAGCATCTATATTCTCAATGCCTTTATAACATCAGCTTGCTTGTATATCTGGTTATAACTTAATTTTTCTTTTCACTATTTTTTATTTTTTTTATTTTACTGGCAGGGAAATCTAGCAAAATTAAGTAATGCTCATTAAAAAACATCACTTTACAATTAAGGAAAGGGGAATCATTATTAGAGCATTAAAAAAGAAAACCAAAGGCTTTTAGAATTGTTGGTGCACTCATTTGTTTTTAAAAGCGATACATAGGCATTCGGTTATTAAATTTGCTTTTTTGAATATGAATATTTAGCTAGAGTCTAAGCTTATTATATCTATCTTAAGTATTATACTATAGAATAGTCTTTCAAGCTATTGAATTTAAGAGTTATTTTCTGTGAAAATAACTAACAATGTAAAATTTTCTGCAAGGAATAAGTAATAAAGTATAATTATAAACGTACTATGAAAAGGGTTTAAGGGGTAAAAACAAAAGGCTAATACAGAAGTTTAGAGATGAATTTTGTGCAATAAACACTATTTCAAAATAAGTGAGTAATTGTTTCTTCATAGATGACAAAAGGAAGCAGCTGGGTGAAATACTGCCATTAAACCGAAAGTTCATTGTAAAGTTCCAGTTATAAAAAAGAAAGACCCCCCCCCCCCCCCCCCTCCCCTCCCCCTCCCCCTCCCCCTCCATTCTTGGTCACTGACTTTATTATTCAAAGAGATCTGAGTTTAATTAAGAATTGATATAAAAAATATTATTTGAAAAGCTAGATTAGAGTAGTCAACATTGGAAAGGGAGCATTAGGACCACGAAGACAGAATTGACTAGTAATTTGACACGCGATTGGAAAAGAGTTTTGCACAGTGTTCAATCATAGACAGTAAACACGTGTAGGTTGCGTCATCAGAGAGCGACCGCAGCATCAGAATGCTGACATGGCCGCGTCCGTGGAGCTGAGACTCACTTTATGGATCTGTTTTGTCTTTATTTTGGGGTTTTCTTCGGTCGCCGCGCTCATCGAGGGACTGTATTGCGGGACTCAGAGTTGCTATGACGTGCTTGGGGTTTCGCGCGAGTCCAGTAAAGCGGAGATCGGTCGCGCGTACCGTCAGCTGGCCCGAAAATACCACCCGGACCGGTACCAGCCCGGAGAGACCGGAGACACCCGCGACACCGCGCATCAAAAGTTTCTGCTCGTCGCTACCGCTTACGAGACACTCAAGGTAACGTTAACCCCGAATACAAGCGCCCGTTTGCATGCAGCACTCTTGAAATTGCGCTTAAGAAATCTAACATCTTCATTCCAATTGCGCGTAAAATTGAGGCTAGGTGGATATTCTAGAGTTTCATAATAGTCAGAATGCGCATTAAAGGGATAGTTCACCCAAAAATTTAAATTCTGTCATTGTCACTCACCCTGATCGTTACAAACCCGCCGTAAGACTTTCGATATTCGGAACACAAATGAAGATATTTTAATGAAATCTGAGAGATTTCTACCCCTCCATTGACAGCTACGCAACTACCACTTTGACGCTTCAAAAAGTTCATTAATAGATCGTAACTATTCCATATGAATTGAGTCCAAATTTTCTTAAGAGACTTGGTCACTTTATATGATGAACATACTGAATTTAGGCTTTTATTCACATTCAATCATTCATCAACATGCACATCAGCTGTGGTAAATGCAAGAGAACCAATGAAGTTCATTCTCGTTATCTTCCTCAAGAATCAATGAGGTTTGGTCTTGCACGTCAAGCGAACTTGCTTGAGCTTCAGTTTACCACAGCTGAAATCTGTTCATCGTTTAAACCGATCGTTTCTTGGACTAAAAAATTTGGACTAAACCACTAAATTCATATGGATTAGTTTTACGATCTCTTTATGAACTTTTTGAAGCTTCAACGTGGTAGTTGCGTAGCTGTCAATGGAGGGACAGAAAGCTCTCAGATTTCATCAAAAAGATCTTCATTTGTGTTCTGAAAATGAACGAAAGTCTTACGGGTTTGGAACGAAACGAGGACGAGTAATTAATGACAACATTTTAATTTTTGGGTGAACTATCCCTTTAAAACAGAAGTCTGCAACTTCGTAAAGTAGTGGTCACATTAGTGAAATTTCAGCAGCAAATCATATGACCAACTTCAACCCGATGTGAAATTTATGGTTGATCTTTTATATGTCTAAAAAAAAAGATTCCACACATTTAGGCAAATCCAGCTATCCACAAGAGTGAAGAAAACCTACTAGAAAACCGCAGCTCTTGAATACACTTTTGTTAATCTAAAGTACAGTCTAACCACAATGAAAACACCCCAAAGACATTTGAAATCTTATTAATAAGTTGTAACATCAGCATTATGCTTTCTCCCAAACTGAATCACCAATATAACATTCAAATGTAGCTCAGATGTCAGACATGTCCTTACCTACATTCACATATTGCTTTCCCTTGCTTATTTAAGACATGGTAAATAGCTTAATAGACTGTAAGATCTCTAATATTGTGATTTTCAGGATGAAGAGTTACGCAAGGACTATGACTACATGCTGGACCACCCAGAGGAATATTACAGCCACTACTACACCTACTACAGGAGAAGACTTGCTCCCAAAGTAGACGTTAGGATAGTGATTCTCGTAACTATTTGTGCAATCTCACTGTTTCAGGTAAGCTGATCACTTCCTCACTCAAAAAGCCAACATACTGACGAGTTTCTTCATCATCTTCCTTATTTTGCTGCTCTGAATAAGTTTAGATTCTGTAAATCTCAGAGACTCCAATTTTATGTGTATCATTTACAGACCCTCATGACGAAAAGCCAAAATAATGTGGGTTCGTCAGATCAGTTTGCAGATAAAAGCCAATACAATCGTCAACCATCTTGACTATTTGAATTGCGTCTTCTGAACGTCCTTCAGTTCTGACAGAGCTACACACAGGCACAATGACTTTTTGAAGATGTACAACAAATTTTAAATTTCACTAATTGGGTGCACAGCAACAAATGCAGTACAAATACTGGTCTTTACTAAAATTGCTGTGGATCCCAAACTTATAGAGATGTGGTGGCGGGATTGAACTATTATTACATTTTTTATTGGTTCAAAATAGAAATCATGATTCTGAATAGACAACTGATCAAAATAACATGTAATTTTCTAGAGATTCTGACAAAATGTTAAAGGAACACTCCACTTTTTTTGGAAATCCAACTCCCCTTGAGTTAAACAGTTGAGTTTTACCGTTTTTGAGTCCATTCAGCCGATCTCCGGGTCTGGCGGTAGCACTTTTAGCATAGCTTAGCATACATCATTGAATCTGATTAGACAGTTAGCATCTCTCTCAAAAAAATGACCAAAGAGTTTCGATATTTGTCCTATTCAAAACTTGCCTCTTCTGTAGTTACATCGTGAACTAAGACCGTAATGTTTTTACGGGTTTAAAATCGGGTTGAATGAATGATTCAACGACTCACTCATGAAGACTTCACTTGTGCTATTACTGGATGAATCTGCGTTTTTGAACATCTGAATGAACGATTCAATGACACTCATAAAGACTTGAATAAATGATTTGATGGCGAATACATTTTGTGAATAACTGTCACTTGTCGCCACCTACTGGTGTAACAATGTACTTGAAACATCTTTTATTTGAAGCTTCACCTTACTTTCAAAAGGTGATTTGCTCTATTTTGATCACTACCATAAACATCAGTGTTCATATCTGAACTATCAGGATTGTGGTCTATTCAAGGCAACAACAAAAAATAGACGTCTGATTTCATTTCATTGAATAAGCCTCTGTGTTTGTCTGATGGTTGATTTCATTTTGGCCTATACAAATGTTACTGAGTTGGTGTCTTAGTCAAATTAACAGCAATTACCAGAAACATTTAAAGGGATAGTTCACTTTGAAATAAATGTTTGGTATGTTTTAGCTTACCTCAAGGGCATCCAAGATGCAGGTGTCTTTGTGTCCACAGTAGTTTCAATTTTGATATCTTTAGGTCAAACCGTTCTTGTCTGTCAGTCATATAATGCAGGTCTATGGTCACCACCTCAAAGAGCATGCACAGAGAAGTCCAAATTAAACATGATTTAATGACTCGTAAATGTAAGTACACATTGATGGCCTAAGACACGAAACGAGCGGTTTGTGTGAGAAAACGAACAGTATTTTATATCGTTTTTACCTCTTGTAAACACAGCCACGTCCAAGTGATCTGAGGGCGCCGGCGCTTCGGTCTGCACAAGCGCCGGAAGTGATCTCTCGCGCGTGTGGATAATCGCACATGTTCAGTATGGGTTGCCATCCATCACTGATAAAACAGAATTGTTCTTTATTGTACCTAAGTTGAAAGTATGAATCCTTTATTGATTTGTCCTTGTCCTATGTTTATTGGTCTTTCTAAACTCTGGGTAAACTTGCTCATAATTTACCCCGGGTAAATGCCGTTGTCGTGTAAATGAACAGTCAAAACGCATAAAAACTGTTTACCCGGGGTACTTACATTTACGAGTCATTAAATCATGTTTAATTTGGACTTCTCTGTGCTGCTCTTTGAGGTGGTGACCATAGACCTGCATTATATGACTGACAGACAAGAACGGTTTGACCTAAAAATATCAAAATTGAAAATACTGTGGACACTAAGACACCTACATCTTGGATGCCCTTGAGGTAAGCTAAAACAAATCAAAAATTTATTTCAAAGTGAACTATCCTTTTAAAACTTAGGATTGAGTGTGGCAGCAATGTAATATGGCAAACAATGTTTTGTCCTTTTGAACTTTTGTAAAGGGATAGTTCACCCAGAAATGTAAATAGTCATACTTTTACTTACTCTCATGTCATTACTTATGTGTTAGTGGAGGAAGAGTTATGTTTAATAATTTACTAAGAGCTATATTTCATCCACCGCTCCAGTCCTGTAGGACATCTGGCTTTCAGGGTTTATCTCTAACCAAACAAACCTGAACTTTCTGTTTGACTAATGTTAGAGGTAACAACCTCCAGGACTGGTGTTTAACCCTCATCCTTACCTCAGGTCATTTGGACCCGAAAATCTTTTTTTTTATTTTTTATTTTTTTTAAAGGGGTCCAAGAGCCTAGGGCTTGTCGCACTTGAACCACGGATTTAAAAAAAATGGATTTGAGGAGTTTTGTGGTAAAAAAAGAAAGAAAAAAAAGTAACAAATCGTTCCCTTACGGGCCAATTTGATGAGTGGAATGCTTCAGTAAAACCTAAAAATGCTAAAACTTTACTAAAAAATTATCTTATAATGTCTACATGTGTATCTGAATGCATACTGAAGAGAAAATGCATTTAGGATCCAGCGGAACTGCTCATTTGCTCCATATAGAGCTATAAGGCCATCTAGTGGCAAGAGTTATGAAATATTATGTTATATTATTATTTTTCCACAAGAGGTCGGCAAAGACTCCCAATGTAAGATATTTTGAGCTGAATTAAAAGGGTTATGCATGAAATTGTGAGTTATTTTGAATTCAAGTTGAAAGAATGTGAGGAATGTGCTTAAATGACTATTTATTTATTATTTATTGATCAAATCTAGAAAATCTCCCAAAAAATTGTTAAAAAATACTATCAAAATGAAATAAAATAAGCTTTCTGAAACTTTTGTTAAGGTATAAAAAGATGTTACAAAGTGCGAGGGAAGGATGAGGGTTAAGAGCCCTGCCGTAGACTGAGGACAGTCGGAACATTAATATTTAGTATATGGATCATACACACAGCTGTTAGAGCCAGAACTGTCCATGTAACAAACAGATGTTTTAATTTGTTTGCAGTATTACAGCTGGTGGAGTAGCTACACAGAAGCCATCAACTACCTGATGACCGTTCCCAAATATCGCATCCAGGCCGCCGAACTGGCCAAGCAGCAAGGCCTCCTGAACAGAACCAAAGAGAAGGGGAAGAACCGGCGGTCCAAAGAGGAGATCCGCGAGGAAGAGGAGCAGATTATCCGAGACATCATCAAGAACAAGATCGACATCAAAGGTGGCTATCAGAAGCCCAACGTTTCTGACATTCTGCTGTGCAAGATCCTTCTGTTCCCGTACCATCTGTGCACCTTCGTGGCGTGGCACTGCTCCTGGTTCTACCGCTTCTCCATCCGTGGGGAGGAGTATGGGGACGAGGAGAGACTGTACATCATCCGCAAGAACATGAAGATGTCGCAGGCGCAGTTTGACAGTCTGGACAGCGGCCTGATAGAGACTTTCCTGAAGCAGAAGCTCTGGATCAAAGACAATTATGAGGTTTGGAGAAGATTTCTTTCATCTCGGACAGTTTAAGACTGATTCATATTTTTTTTAGCTCTTTGAAAGTTAACAAGTGCATCTTAAATGCCTTTTAAAACCCTTATTTAAAAGTCATAATGCATTTCTTCAGTTTTACATTATAGTTGCAATTCTGTTGTCAATTTATAAATCAAACTTATATTGACGTTTAATTACATTTTCAGCAGTTTTTCTATGGTTTAATTATTGAATAATGAATCAACCATGAGCGACACATCATAGAGTGTGAGGACATTGGTTTTTATTGAATTATTTTCATTGAGTTCTGTGTTCGCATTTACAGTGTATTTTAATGTAGTCTGAGAAAGTTAAATACACTCTAAAAAGAAGAAAAAAAATGCTAAACGTTTTCATCTATCTTTGAGTTATGAAACTGTTAAACCAACAAACTACTTTGAGTTAGAGGAACTAACACATTTTGTAGCATAAACAAAAAAAAAGTTCAACTATGCATTTAATTTAATTAAGATAATATAGACGCATGATGTTGGAAATGGGAATTTTCAATTCTTTAAACAGGGTATCCGCGGGGTCTTGAAAAGTATTAAAAGGTGATAAATCAATTTTGGGAAAATTAAGACCCTTAAAAAGTATTAAAAAGTCTTATCACGGCTTTATAAAGTCTTACATTTTGAAAGTATTTTTTCTGAATAAGCTGTCCAACAGTTTGAGTCCCAAAAACATCGTAAAAGTGTGTGAATTTAGTCATTTTTATTAAAAAAAACTTTGCTTTGATTTACTATCCCAGCCTATTTGATTTTTTTTTTTTTATCAGAGTGGTCTATAGTGTTTATCACAAACTAAAACTGTTAAGTTAAAAGTATCACTTATGTAAATGGTTACAGCTTGAAGTGGCGGTGAGGTATTAAAAAATATTGAGAAGGTCTTGAAAGTCTTGAAAAGGTATTAAAATTAACTTCAAGATTCCTGCATATACCCTGTTAAATGTTTAACATCTTTTGCTGCACATCAGAACTATAGTCTCTGGTGTTATTCATTGTGATGGATGATTTAGGGAATTTGGCTTTTGCGTTTCCTCATATTTACACTCCTGTGAAACAAGAACACATGGCTGGAGAAGTTCACCCTAATGTTATTGTAAATATGACTGGGAATATTCTTCAGAGATTTTACTCAAGACTTTCTAGGGTTGCCAATAAGTGTGACCAATAGTTAATTGGAGAAAAACATTTATTTAGTAATGTGATTTTTCACCACACTTTAATTTGATTTACTTCAATGGAAGGTGAGATTTTTGTGATAAAAAAGAAAGACCAAAAGTATAAATGATGCAGATTTATCTTTGTTCATATTTAGGACTATATATATATATATATATATACATGCATACATATGCATGTATATGTGTGTGTGTGTTTGTATAAATATATATACGGTATATATATATATATTATACACATACATACATTTTTTATATATATACCGGTATATATGCATACATATTATGCATGTATATGTATGTATGTATGTGTATATATTATACACATACATAAATTTTCATATATAAATATATATATATATATATATATATATATTAGGGCTGTCAAACGATTAATCACGATTAATCGCATCCAAAATAAAAGTTTGTGTTTACATAATATATGTGTGTGTACTGTTTATAATTATTTTGTATATAAATGGACACATGTATATATTTAAGAAAAATATGTTATTTATATATAAAATATACATTATATATAGGCTACATTCAGTCTATATACAGTATATACATGCAAATAATTATACACAGTACACACACATATTATGTAAACACAAACTTTTATTTTGGATGCGATTAATCGTGATTAATCGTTTGACAGCCCTATACATGTTATGCATGTATATGTATGTATATATGCGCATACATATATGTATGTATTTATGTTTGCATGCATATAAATGTGTGTGTGTGCCTTAGCACAGAGAACTTTAAAAGCTTTTAAAATTCCCATGTTTTTCTGTAAATAATTTAAAATGATTAAAAATCAGATCCCTCAGCCCTATTAAATATTCAGTATAGAAACATTCATAATTACGTCATTGATCAGTGATGAGCGTGTTTTTCATCATTAATCTGGAGTGTGTGGTGTTGTTAGTATGTGTGTGTTTAGGACCTCAGACAGACTGATGATACTGTGTGTTTGTGAAAGGCCTACCGAGAGGAGCAGGAGGAGGAGATGAAGATGAAGATGGCCACAGACTCGCGATGGAAACGCTACAGGCGCTGGATGAGGAGCGAGGGTCCCGGACGCATCACTTTCGCTGACGATTGACCACACACACACACACACACACAGTGCCGTCCCGTGTGTGTGTAATAACACTCGTTTACAATGGACTGGCGATGTGCACCTGATTCATAAGCCTGCCTTTTCTCATATGATATATAAGACTATAAAGGCGATTTGATTGTACCTATGGAGGATCATGTGACTTTTCCATGTGCATAAGAGGATCAATTGAGACCGTTTTTCGAATCATAAAGAAAAATAACCGTCTCAAAACATTGTGTGTTGTTTTACCAGGATGAATTTAATCACAGGCTAGAGAAACAGTGTTACAGTTTGCAAAATGCCTCATTTCAATCACTGTTTTTTCTGCTATAAATGTTACGTCTAATCCTATACTGTATCTCTAAGCCTTTTATTTGCATATATAAAGTCATATCTAATTGTTCCGTTACATGGTACTTCAATAAAGTTTTATAATTTAAGGTTTGGTTAGGAAGACTTTGTTGATGTCACCATAAAAAAAAAGGTTGTCATGCTGTAGATTAAGATGTCATCAGTAATTGATTATATTGTTCTCAGTGCATAACCACAGATCTCTCACCTAAAGACTTGTCATATGATATATATCATGCCTTCTATGAACGCTTGTAGTTCAAATTCAGTTCCTTTCAATGTTTTTCCATTTAGGATTCATTCTCCAGAAGGGACAACTATACTATTAAAAATATATTTTAGAAAGATGCACAGAAAGAGAACTTTTGAAGGTTGGTATTTTCTCATGCAATTTGAGTATTTCATGCAGTTTGGAATAAAAATAAGAGCTAAACTGAAATAAATAAATATAATTTGTATGTCGCTTTGGATAAAAGAGTGTGCACAGTCGGTGGTGACGTGACTTTTCTCGTTACAATAGTTTTTCTCGGATTAACGCACGGACCTACTGGGCACTTGCCCTCAAATTTATATTATTTTCAAATAATTATTATTGTTTATTTATTTTTTCAGTAAAATTCTGTTGTATATTGTGGAACAATGTGATTTTTTTTTGGTGGAAGAGCAGGTATTGTATACTGTGCCCTTAATGAATTCATACGAATTGGGCAACTCGTAAAATATTATGATAAAATAAAACGATTTAGCAAAAATAAAATAAAAATCGAAAAATGTGGTGAATTTGAGACATCCGTGCCCAGACTGCCTTACCAACAACATGTGCATTACTGTAAACACGAGTCTGCATTATTTTCCACGGTGGACGCAGCCCACATGCTATTGAAACACAACCTTTTACTTATAAATTGTAGTAATAGACCGTTGTACCCAGAATATGAGTGCACAGTTCCAGTCCCGGCGCCGTGGGCGGGCATTGGGGGGCCTGGCCCGCCCTGTGAGTCACTAGTGCCCGCCCTGAGCGAGTCTCTCCCTTCACCAACTCCACTTCAAGTCCCACCAGTCCTTGCTTGTTTGCACAATATCTTTTTTATCAATAGGCTACTGTTATCAAAAGTTATCCTTTTGAATATACATAACTCCTGAATAAAAATAAAAATGTGTTTGGTCTGATTTTTTTCTAATTGTAAACGTGTTGATTGGTTTGTCGATAGAGAGCGCGGAAATGCATGTGATAGCGGTCTTATTAAGCGAGTCATTCATTCAAACGTTTCGTTCAAACGCCATAGAGAAATGCACATTTCATACGGATTACATGAGCAGGGAGCAGTCTGTAGTCTGTTTTCTTTCGTGAACTGTTCTGTTTAAAAGTAGACATGTCTGTGAGGCGGGCTACCTTATACGCCTACACGAGTTTCGGTTCAATTGCGACGAGCTCCAGTTCACGCGCTGGCGCCTCCGGTTCGTCATTATCGTCTGCTATATTTACTTCTTATTTATTAAATCCCTCCAGGCAATTGGTTGATGAAATATTGATTAAAATTAAGATACAATTAATACAAAACGAAATTCACTTTAAAGAAAGGTTTTGCTTTCTGTTTGATGTCTCTGTGAAAGTTTTAAAGCATGTTTTAGTGCCGCTTTCAGAGCGCTCACGTCCGTAACATTGTTTTTTCCTCATAAATGCGAACACGAAAAATAAAATGAAACGAATATTTTATGCTCTATGGAGACTACTGTTAGCCTACTCATAATTTGTATTCTGAATACGTAATACGTTGTATTACTTTGAATGAGTGTTTATGCTTTCGAGGTTTTTAAATAAGCTTGATATGTGTTTGGGAAGATGTTTATGTTTTGTTGACATGTCGAGTTTTTTCGGTATTATATTTCGTTTTTTTGGCTAAACAGCACAAGACTTTAATTAAGTAGGCTAACGTTAGCCATTCTGTTTGTGCTGCGTGATTTAAAGAAAAGTGCGCTCTTGCTCACACGATCAGCATGGTGATCTTGTGTTTTCTCCTAAATAAAAGCTCAAAGGTTTATTTCTTACAAGTGAAGAAATTAGGACAAAAGTAGTGTAATTTTCCTATTCTATAGCTTAATATAAAATACGATGTAATGTAGACTGAGACTATAACAATATGTTTGAGCCCTCTTTAGGTATACAAGTCAATGCTTTTTCTTTGTTCAATGTGCACAGTTCATGGGTCGAAGCCGGTTGAAGCTCTTAATTTTGAGCTCTCAATGTGCACCAGATTGATGCATTTAAACTTAAAATGTACCAAATTTTCTTGCGGGCAGTGGCGGTTCTAGCCCATTTCAACTGGGGGGGCCAAGCTGGGGCCAGTTGTACTGTTAAAGGGGCCAGTTACATTTAGACCTTATTGTTGTCATATAATTTTCTGCACTGCTGCAGGCATTAACAGGGAAAATACCGTGTTTATAATCATTCAACAATGTATTTGCATTTCCATTATATTTTTACATTTGCATTACATATTCAGTATTAGTCACAGTAACTGTAATAGACATGATGTCCTTCTTTCTCTTCATTTTGAGAACTATAGAGCAAAAGCAATGGGGACCAAGAAGCTTATTAATTCATTTACTGAAAATAACTGACTTGATATGTCTAACCGTTTACAGGGTTCCTGCACACTTTTTAGAGTCCAATTTAAGGCTTTTTAAGACCTAAAGAAATCAAAATTAATACCGTACATTAGAGGTGTGCAATATTGACAAAAATATATTTCAACATTTTCAACATTTTGTTAATAATTAGATAATATTTTACTGATTGTGTTTTTGTGCTGGTGCCATGGCTGGTTTAGGCCTGTTGTTGACAGCTGACTCACGAAGATATTCCTATTTTTCATATTCTATGCAGTGGTCGATTCACAGCAGTGACAGAAATACATTTTTTAATTAAGGGGCAATATTTGCCACCTTAAATTGATTTCCAGGGGCATTTTCACCTATATATGGACATTTTTTCTAAACTTATTTAGAGTTATGCATCACCTTTTATGTCAAATACTAACATTCAAATTATACAGTAATTATACTTATTTATACAATAATACTTAATTATACAATAATTATACAGTACCACTGTTACCAGTCAAATTAATTAATTCAATCAAAATCCATCTTTGCAGTGCAGAGGTGACACAGAAGTGGCATTAATATATTTACACTCCATTTACAATTGCATAAATAAAGCTATGAGATTTTTTTCAAATCAATATTTAAATATGAAATTATTTCTAAGTTTAACTTTTTAATTAAAGGATACTTTAAATATGAAACTAAAACCGCCAGTAGGCGGCGGCAAGTCCCTGTAAGAGGGATTCATTCATTCAAACGATTTGTTCAAACGGCCGATTTATTCGGGAAAGAAGCAAGTGATTCGTTCAAAACGCGGATTTCAGTCAAGAAATCATCGCTGTGTTGCATTGAGACTCACTACGGTTTCATTATGAAATTCTAGTCGGCGAAATAAAGGGAAAACAAACAATATTGACAATATTGTGTCTAAAAAGTAACTCCCAATGTTAACTTATTGTTAATTTAACTGTTGTATAACATAAATATCACAGTTGCAATTGTGCACGGGAAAACGGCACTCTTGCTGATGTGATATTCTAATATAAGAACATAATATGATATAAATATAAGACAAAAACTAATTTGGGGACATAGCCTACCTATGAACTGCACACAGTAGTGAAAGGACGATAGACAAATGCTATGTCAGCTCACAGTGCCTCGTACATACCGTGAAACTTCAAATAATAGCCGAGTCCCGAATAGACACCTGTCTCTTTTACACGCCTGGTGTGGCGACAGGTTTGGGTACATAAAGGCCGGTCTCAAATAGAAGCCGGGTCTGTTTTTAGTTTCGGGTTGTATTTTATCTTCTAAAACCCGTCAGAGCGTCCGCTTGCTGCGCTTGACAGTGCATAACGAGCAGAGAGAGAGAGAGAGCGCCCCGGCCGCGCGCGCGCACTCACCTCTTCAAACATTCTGCCGCGATTCCCGCGAATGTGATGCGAATTGTCACGTGAAAATGCAAATCCACAAAGATAGAAAAATAAAAAAATAATACACATACAACGATAGCAAAAAACAGTTTTGTAAAAATTATTTCAAACTCCACATTTAGGGGGGCCACAAGGGGGGCCAAGCTTTTTGTCACAGGGGCACTGGCCCCCCTGGCCCCCCCTCTAGAACCGCCACTGCTTGCGGGGGAGAATGCCCCCGAACCCCCCTAGGGACAGAGGTCCACACAACATGCCCAATTTTTTTTTCAATAATAATTCACAGCACCCACTGATGACCTGAAAACACCTCTCAAACCTACTTAAAAAATTAAATCGAAATTTGCGGAGGCAGTGTGTAAACGTACCTTTAGCGTCAGTGGCCTATTATATAATTATTATGCTCTATCGATTATTGCATAGTATCATAATCGATTCTGTTATGATGCAATGAGGTTGTTTTCATTTGTGCCCCCCTGAAAAAAATGAATGCCCGTCCGTGAATTTGTGTCTGGCGCCGGGTCTGCACAGTTCAGAGATGGGACGATGTTGGGGTTTGCTGTGATCCAGATCACCACTTGAGGTCACTATTGCGATAATCAGAAAGTCATTTTGAATGAAGGAGAGAGTCTGAAACCATAATGTCTCGAGTCAAAACCTAAGTGGCCACTGTACAGTGCTGGTCAGAATTATTTGGTAAATATGATCAAAGATGGCTGTAAAAAATAAATCTGCATTGTTTATCCTTTTGATATATATATATATATATATATATATATATATATATATATATATATATATTTTTTTTTTTAT